TTAGCATATTATCATTATAGACTAGAGGCCCGATGCACGAAATTCATGCAAGAGTAGGCCTTCCTTCCCCCAGCTCCTGGCACCGACTTCCCTCTGGCACCCAGGACCCTGGCTTCCCTCCAGTCACCGACAGGCATCCAGGACCTGGGCTTCACTCCGGTCCCGCCTTTGTCCGGGAAGGACATCCGGAATGATGTCCAGTCTAATTAGCATATTACCCTTTTAATATTATAGATAAGGCAGGTGTGGGCAACGTCCAGTCCACAGGAGTATAAGACCCTGAAATCATTTGGCCTGGCCCTGCCAAGGCATTAGGGGTGAGTTCATTAAATGTTTGACCAAATATAGTAGGCTCGTTTTTAAGTTGATCATTCTGTATGATGCTTGTTATAAATATCCAAAGAGCCTTGGCAGAGAAAAAGGTTCCCCAGCCCTGCTATCAGGGGTCATTGAAAAGAAGTTTCCCTCTTGGCTGGAGGTGTGCTCTTTCAGCCAGTTGCTGAGTAAACGTCTGTAAAGGACAAACCATGGTGCCAGGCTCCGGGCCTGCGGACAGTGCGGGCTTAGGTAGCCCTTTGCCGCCCGGAGGAAGGCTGAGTGAGCGCCATTGCTGTGGGACCCGGAGGAGCAGGGCCAAGCCTTCTCGCAGCGGCCTAGGCTTTTCCATGGCCAAGCCTTTGATCCAGCCAGCCATCTCCGGGAGCCATGGCGAGGGCGAGGGTGGAGGGGAAACCCATCAGCCACATTAGGGATCAGATGGACCACAACCCATGGTCTACCGGGAGCTGAGGGTCTGGCACACAGCTCTGGGTCAGGGAGTGGCTTCCAATATTTCAAAGAATGGCCTCCGCACAAGGGGAGGAGGCAGGCAGCCTTCTGGACACGAGAAACAACTCGAAAGATGTGGTCAATAAAAGCAGAGCTGACGCCTTCCTGCCCGGCACAGAACCCACGGCACGGTGATCAGCAGCTAAAGGGGACGCTGGGGATTGAGGCGGAGGGTTGTACCCGTGGGGGGTCCTCAGGGGCCTGGGAAATGTTGGGGTTTGGCGTCTTTCTCCAGGTGTGTGTTGGGGGGTGGCGGTGGGGGTGAGGGGGGGTGGGTTTTCAGGCTTCCGAGCACAGTATTGAAACGGGGTGGATTGAAAGCCTGTGTCTGGATGAAGGAAGAGCCGTGAGCATTTTTATGTTTGGTTTTCAGATTGATGTTTTGGTACCCCCTCCCCCCAGCATTACTTCACCCCGAATGTAACTGCGGGGGATGCTAGGATTCAATGTTTATTAAGGTTCCTACGGGGGAAAACCAGAACTTCCTAGGATGTCGTAAGAAAAAAAAAAAAAAGAGAGAGAGAGAAAGTCTGCTTTCAATGGCCACAAAAGCCACTCCCAGGCCATGCAGTCAACCGTCTTCAAAGGCGTATTGTGTATCTAGACGCTGGAACTGGTTCAAGATGCCAGACATCACCAGGCAGCAGGCAGGATGCCTCAGTGAGCTAACACCGCAGGTTTACTCTCAAAACCCTGTGGCTTCCTTATTTTTAAATCACCTTCCCTCCTCAAGATAAAACACTGTCCAAGCAGCTCCCAAGCCTTCCCATTCTGAAACTTTGGGTCCACAGAAAGGGGACGGCAGGGTGGTCTCCCTCCAACGTGGGAAGGACCCGACAGAAGCTCTTTGCCTAAACTTATGTGCGGGACTTTTGAGGCTCTCCGAAAAAAATAGGGGGAGTCCGTTAGAAGACGTAGCATCATGTAGGAACATCCTACTTCCCTCGGAGGTCCAGTGAAGTGTGGTTACCAACAGACCTGTGGCAGGTGGGAAAACAAGTTCTTGGCTCTGAGGTTTTGCATCGCTTTCTCATTATTGCTGGGTAATACTTCAGACACTTCCCAGCCACCAAGTGTCCAGTTCTTTACTTCCTTTTCATCAGTGCTCTGGTGCAAGCACCACCCACTCCTGCCTGGATGACAGAAATAGCCTCGGCGACCCCCTGTTCCCATCTGACCCCAGCACCATTCCCAAACCCACACTCCGTTCACACAGCACCCAGAGTGGCCTCTTGGACTCAGGTGATGCCACTCCCAAAAGAAATCAAATGATTCCAGTCCTGACTGATGTGGCTCAGTTGGCCTGTGGACTAAAAGGTCCCAGGTTCGATTCTGGTCAAGGGCATGTACCTTGGTTTCAGGCACATCCCCAGTGGGGGGTGTGTAGGAGGCAGCTGATCGATGTTTCTCTCTCATTCATGTTTCTAACTCTCTATCTCTCTCCCTTCCTCTCTGTAAAAAAATCAATAAAATATATATATATTTTTAAATCTACAGAACTATAAAACAAACAAACAAACAAACAAACAAAAAACACGAATACCATAAGAGAAAAAAAGGTTTCAAAGGTATTTCTGAAGGCCAATTCACCTAGACAATAACAGCGTGATTTGTCATTGCATTTAAATTCCGAGATATTTTAAAAGAAATGCCATCCCATACATAGACATAGAATCATTTCTTTAATGCCAAGATCATAACGGTTCACAATTAACACCTTCCTACCATGAAGCATCTCTTTGGTTCTTGTTTGCTCTCAAATGTAAGAACCTTAAGGTGAGATTGATTTCCCACACCATCTTCTCATAGGCGGTATAAACGTTTGGCCTAGTTTTTTAAAGAACATCACACACAAAAATATTCCTAAGTAAATGGATGGGTTGCCACCACATTTGGGAACTTCCATTGGTTCTGTGCCATGGCGGGGGGAGCCTGAGGGGGGAGGGGTTGGGTGTGACAGGAAAGGCGTTCCTTCACGTGAGCATGAGAGCACACTGCTCCCGGCTGGCCCTGTAATTGCAGTCTCCTCTGCACCTATGTAAACAGTGTGTGTGTGTGTGTGTGTGTGTGTGTGTGTGTGTGTGTTGCCTGCGTGCGCATGTGTCTCAGGAAGGAAGAAGGATTGGAGGGCCCAGGTATCCACACGTGCTTTGAATTTCAACATTCAAGGGAAAAGGATGGCAAATGCCGGCTGGGGGAACGGGACACTCAGGAAGGCCTTCAGCCAGCCGAAGGAGAGAGACAGCTGAGGATCTCTTGTGAAGCTCAACTTTCCCATGGAGCCGAGAGAATGCCAGGGCCGCGAGACAAAGAGGACATGCTTCTTAATCAGGAGTGTCATTCATAAAAACGCCCTTTGTCCATTCAGAGCGGTTTTAGTGCCGGCCGCTGCGGGCCAAGCGTAGGAAAGAAGCAGGAGGAATGTTTATCGTTCCGCTTTCAATGAACTGAACTTTCTACGAAAGAATTCAGACCAGCTTCATTCAGTACTATGTATTTTTCTCTTTTAAAGCAAGGGTAGTTTGTTTTTTTGAAGTTAGAGGATGCCCCAGTACATGATTTTGCTGAGCAGCGCCAGGAAACATTTTTTTTTTTTTACATTGATGACTTGTTAATTGAACTCAATGCAAGAGAGGAAGAAAAGAAAATAACACATTTAGTTGAGTGTGTGTGTGTGTGTGTTTAACAAGGACTGCTTGCCAGGCAAAGGGATATTTCCTCCCTGAGAATCCATTAATATATTCAACATCTGCTACAGCACAGGCCTAAATCCTCATGGGGGCCAATCACTGCCCTACCCCTCCCCCACCCAGCAAATGGCTCAGAGGGAAGACCAACCATTTGCATGCACTGAGTTATTATTCAGTTATTGCTTATTATTCAGTTATTTGACACCCAGATGAAAAATGCATATACTCAAGTTCATCCAGAGAGATTGACTGGCAGCACTGAGTAGGCCTAGTTGCAGAGAGAACAATCGGGTTTGTTCTAGAGGCTCCCTCCCTCCGCATCAGCAAAGATGCTGTGATCAAATATTTATTAGCAGGGCCTGTGGCTGGGCTGGCAAGAAGCCTCAGGAGGAATAGGCATCTTAAAGCAAGGACGGGCTGCTGGCTGGCTCCAGCACGGCCTGGTTACAAACATCCGCTCTTTAATTACATCAAGCCCTCCTCCCTGCTCTTGGGACACGTGTGCTCCCTTATTTTGCAACTGTACTTAGTCACGGGATTTCCAGAGCCCCTCTGAGTCTGCAGACGGAGCCCGTGGCCAATGAGTCAGATTTTTAACCAGTGAAAGGGTTATCTGGTGAGTTGAGATGGTGCTCGGGCTTGGCAGTGATGAGCTCAGGTCGTTTGGATACAGGTTGGAGAAGAGGCCACTGAAGTTATCTGTTCTCTGCCCGGTTTTAGAATTTGCCATCCCCTGCTCCTCCAGACACCTTTTCTTTGGCACAACAGGGTCATTATTCACCCAGGGTTCATGCAGGAGAGCCAGGGCCCGGGCCAGTGAGGTTTCTCGGTAGCGTACCTCTTGGTGCACGGAGAGCTCGCTTAGTTGTGGCTGGCATCCTTAAGTGTATTGCTGACCTTCCCCTGCAGACACTAGCTTAACTCCTTGTAAGATAGGATGTTGAACTCAATGTAATCTCTGAGGTCAGTGGTCCAAGCCGATGCTAATCAGTCAGGTGGGCAGCAGTCTCAAAGTTGAATGGAGAGCCAACCTGACTTTGGAAAGATGGAGACCCTGCCTTTTGGACATTTCTGATTCCGTAGGTTGGAGATATTGCCTGCAAAGTGGTTTTGGAACTCTCCCGAGGTGCCTATAATTTAGAGTTTTTCCAGGTCTACATGATATTCCAGTAACCTGAATACATTACTTCATCATCTGAAATAGTACCAGAAAGGAAGGGGGTACAGTCCGCCCCAAGGGGATATCCAGGAGGGGCTGGCTGCTTCAGCCTTTTCTCTTTCCACCCTCCTTTCCTGGGCAATGGTGACAACCAGGCTGTCATATGTGCCAGCGGTGCAGCAAGGAGAATGGTTTGTGCTAAGCAAAAAATGTAACAACAAATCCCAAAAAGGAATGGGGAAAAATCATCTCATTATGGTCAGCCCGTTAGGTCTGCTCTCACCCCATCCACCGTGAGCCCTGACTCGGTCTTACTTTTTCAGCCAGCACAGTCCTGCCAGAAGATGATGTTACGACCCCAAGTAGCATGGTGACCCCAGGTGTGGATGACAGTACGATGACCCCAGCTGCCAGTAGACAGTCCCATAAGCCTGCTGGCTCCACAAGTCAGGTGAGTGTCCCAGGAAGAGAGGAATTTGGTTGGTAAGCATGCAATGACATGCAAGGACATATATGTATAGATATATTTATATATGTATACATGTGATCAGCGGGAGCATACAAAGGAGCAGTCACATGGCTTGCAACAAAAGGGACTTTCCAGTTTCACCCAGCTGGCAGGTCACTGGTGTGCTGATCACACCAGTGTCTACATCAGGGCTTCTCAAACTGGTAAGGAGATCGGTTTATGGATGTCCAGTCTACTATAGCCATGTGTCAATATAAGACACGTCTTGGATTGCTATAAACATTTCTACATAGATATTCACAACTTCCTGTCATACTGTGACTGGTAATAAGCACCGACTAGAAGCCACCCACAGACGGTACCAGTGTAGACTATGTGGAGTCCCAACTGACACATTCCCACCCTAGAGACCTTTAACCAGCTCATGCATATCTTAAGCCACTGCCATGGGCAAGACCAGATGCCAGGCTCTGGGAGGCACTGAGGAGGGATATAGGCCGTGAGGGGCTTAATGTAGTGATGGGACAGAGGTTCTTGCCCACCTCTGTGACGTCCTCTTGCACCACTGTCCCTCTCGAGTTCTCTATTTCAGCCATGTTGGCCTTTCTGACCTTTGGACTTACTCCAACTTAGGTTTCTGTTTTCTCTGCTTTGAATACTCCCCAGATCGGTCCATGGTTGATTTTTTCCCTCATGATTCTTAAATTCACTCATTATCTCAAAGAGGCGTAAAGGAATCCCTTCCCCACCTCACAGGAGTGACTCTCGGCCAGAGGACAGCAAACTACTCACCAGATTGGGCCCACACCCTGTTCTTGTCAGTAAAGTTTTACTGGAGCACAGCAGTGCCCATTCAGCTGAGAATGATCTCAGGCTGCTTTCATACCCTAAGAGCAGAGCTGAGTAGTTGGTCACAACAGAGAAAATATTTATCATTTGGCCTTCTCAGAAAAATGTGCCAGCCCCTGTTTAAGGATATCCCCAGGGTTGAGAACTATGTGTGTGTGTGTGTGTGTGTGTGTGTGTGTGTGTGTGTGTGTGTATGTATGTACATAAATGAAGTATTTAAAGGGGCTGTCACATAGTTTGTTTTTAAAAAGGTTAGCTATTGCTCTTATTGGGAGAAGGGGGCATTAAAGTATGATATAACATAATATATGCCCCAAAATATTGCAGGAAGGAAATGCCATTCAAATTCAAGGGAGAGGAAGAAGTAAAGCTCAGTGATCATGTATTTTCTGAAGAATTAAGACCCATGGAAGTAAACACTCGGTATTCCTTTCTGGAGGCATGCTTTTATTCATGTCCCTGTTATTCTGTTGCTTTCTGGTTTCCACTTTAAATTTATGACATCCTATATTTTATATATTTATGCCACCTCCGTATCCAGACAGTCCTCAGGTTACGTCAGATTTGATATATGTCATTTCGTGGTTACATCACCATCTCCCATTTATTTATTTAAAAAAAAAAAAAGTTCCGCCATTTCAACATATGTACATATAGCTTTATTTATTTACCACAAATAAAGGTCAGGAAGTGTAATCTTTCTTTTAAATTATTTTTACTCTTTCACTTCATTACAGCTGAGTATGTGCTCCATGTGAGTGACATGGGTGCTTATGTAGGGGGGTCCTGACTTACGGCAAAAATCGCGTTATGTCGTGACGTAGGAAAGAATGTCCGACGTAACCCAATGATCTACTGTCTTGTTTTGTGTTATAAGACCAAGTATATATTTTAAAACATGATGTTATATTTCTGTTTTGCTTCATTTACGTCTCCAATAGGTGCCCACCAATGCCAAGCGCACAGACACTCCTATAGAGGACCTGCCAACGACAGAGAGCACAAGCCACCCCCAAGAAGGAACCCAGAGCACCACAGCCTTGAACGAGGCCTCTAGTCATCCCAGAGGTAAGAAACCCGGTCACCCCAACACGGATTGAACTTGTTTTGCAGTCATTACCCTCCAGAAACCATGACCAAGTGTAATAATCGGCAGGGCATATTTTTGGAATGTAAGAGTGAGTTCCAAACCAAGCTTTATGTGGTAGTTTCAGAACTCAATGTATTGGGGTTGCTAAATCCAATTTGATTTATTGGGCTGTTGAACAGAGTTCTCTGCCTTGAGAAGAAGTGATGATAATCCCACCAGGACAAGATGAGTAGCTACTGGTGTCGTGTTGCTGACCACAAGTGGGTAGAACTTTGTGTGTTTACCTAAAGGCATAAAACTCAGCCAACCTATGTAAATATCCATGGGTTCTATAGTACTGTTTGCCATCTTATAAGGAATTCATGTCCGTAACCAAGGAACAAGGATCTTTTCTTCCCAGGATTTGGGCTTGTACTGTGACACACTGTTGACACCTGCAGCTTTATGAGTGGAACATCTTGGAGAGAATCTAGAGAGGAGAACGTTGGGTCATTGCCATGATTATGAGGTTTGGATTATCCCTGACAAAAACAAGGACAGATCATTGCATTACAAATCAGCAATAGAAAGAAATAGCTTCCTATTTCTAGAGCTTTTTAAAAAAGTAATTAAGTCCCCCCCCCCTTTTTTTTTAATATGCCCTCATTTTGTAGTATATAGGGGTGAACGAGAAAAGGAACCAGCCATAACTGTAATGTGTGATCACTAACTTGAGCTATTTTGTATAAATCATTTTATCTATAAAATGGGGCTGCTGAACAGAGTTCTCGGCCTTGAGAACAAGTGATAGGCATTTCCATCTTTAAATGAAAGGAAACACAAAGACTTTGCCTAGTACACTGGTTCCTCAAACAAAATGTACATCTGAACACCTAGAAAGTTATTCTTTTTTGTCCCCCCAAATATATTTTATTGATTTTTTACAGAGAGGAAGGAAGAGCAGTAGAGAGTTAGAAACATCAATGAAAGAGAAACATCGATCAGCTGCCTCCTGCACAACCCCTACTGGGGATGTGACTGCAACCAAGGTACATGCCCTTGACTGGAATCGAACTTACGACCCTGGAGTCTGCAGGCTGACACTCTATACACTGATCCAAACCAATTAGGACTAGAAAGTTATTCTTTAGTATCAATATACATTTCTAGACCCAAAGCCAATCTGGTTTTATAAAATGTATAACACTTCTGAGGATTTTTTTAAAAATGCTTTAGCCCTGGCTGGTGTGGCTCAGTTAGTTGGAGCATTGTCTCATACACTGAAAGATGGCAGTTCAATTCCCCATCAGGGCATTTATCCAGGTTTCAGGTTCGATTCTCAGTTGGGTGGGGCATTACAGAAGGCAACCAATGATGTTTCTCTCACTCTCTCTCTCTCTCCCTTCCTTCCTTCCTTCCTCTATAGAAACATGTCCTCAGGTGAGGATTTAAAAAAAAAAAAAAACCTTTATATTTGTACACCTACATTCATAGCAACATTATTTACTGTAGCTGAAATGTGGAATTTATTGACAGATGAATGGATAAACAAAATCAAGGCACCTTGAATCCATACAATGGAATATTATTCAGCCTGTAAAAGGAATAAAATTGACACCTAGTACAAATGGGTAAACATTGGGACATAATGCTAATTAGAATAAGCTAGTCACCAAAAGGAAGATGATGTATGATCCCACTTAGATGAGGTACACTACACAAAATAGTCAGAATCATAGAGACAAAGTAGGAGGATGGTCGTCTGGGGTTGGGGAGGAGGCAGTGGGGAGTTATTGTTTAATGAGTACATAACGTTAGTGTTGTGAGATGAGTTCTGGAGATGGATGTTGGTGATGATGGAACAACAATATGAATGTACTTTCTACCATTGAATTGTACACAGAAATTATGAAGAGGGTAAATTCTGTGTTATGTATATTTTACCACAATGGGGGGGGGGGGGACTTCCTGAAAGTGCTTTAAAAATAAAACTTAAAGGCCACACAAAGATGCTAAAGAAATGGAGCATTACCTGGTTAATAGCTTACCCAGTTTGGCTCAGGGATAGAGCATCGACCGTGAACTGAAGGGTCCCTGGTTCAATTCTAGTTAAGGGCATGTACCTTGGTTACAGACTCAATCCCAGCCTTGGTTGGGGTGTGTGGGGGAGGCAACTAATTGATGTGTCTCTCTCAGATCTATGTTTCTTTCTCTTTCTCCTTCTCCTTTCCACTCTCTTTAAAAATCAATGGAAAAATATCCTCTGGCGAGGATTTACAAAAACACAAACAAGAAGAAAATAAAGAAATTGTTAACAGCTAAGGGGCAGCAGAAGATGGAATCTCCCAAGTTGAGTGTTCTTTGTGTCATGCCAGGATACCTCTCCTAATCCTTAAAAAAAAACACTCCTGTTACTCTTTGGCTGTGTCCCCTGCCCCACCCTGTCACCAAATCTGTGACTAACAGTACACTTCTTCATATTTAGTGTCCCAGGAAATTTTTACATGAGTTAAAATGTAATTTTAAACGTTTGGGTTTCTTAAGAGGTCATTTCATTAGGGCGGCAGATGTCTTTCCCATGAAACGCCCAAGTGTGATGATGTTCACATTTACGACACATTTTATGATCACAGCCGTGTAATTGCAAGGGAGCTGGGGAGAACAGAACTAATACGTTCTAATTTAGTAAGGAATCTTCCATAAACGTTATTTTTGGTGTTTCCTAACTCATGGTGTCATTGATGGTGATGATGGCATGTTCTGAGGTTGAAATTGGCAGCCACCATGTTAAGACATGATAAGCAAACAATTAGAGGGGTTTCTGCCGGTATTTAGCAGCCGAGGATGACATTTGAGGAGTTGAGTTGACGATGCTGTTGTTCTGGGCAGGACTCAGGCCCAGCAGCCTCCAAAACACATTTATGGTGGGAAAGCACCATCCACTTGAACTCCGTGTGAGTGCTCCCAAGCCTAGGTTCACCTCAAGCAAGGAGACCCCTACCTACCCTGAGGCCCACTTGAAAAGGTGTCTTTCCAGAGACAAAACGATAGCTTTTTCCAACCCAACCATTAGGGAAAGCAAGCATTTTGCAGATGATGGACGGCTGGTTCCATCTTTCATTAAGAACATTCTTGGGACCCTGACTGGTTTAGCTCAGTGGATAGAGCATCAGCCTGCAGACTGAAGGGTCCCAGATTTGATTCAAGGGCATGTACTTTGGTTGTGGGCATATCCCCAGTAGGGGGTGTGCATGAGGCAGCTGATTGATGTTTTTAACTTTCTTTTTTTAAATTTTTTTTTTATTTTGAAGGAATATTTAATATTAACATTGTGAGTTATTAACTTTTGCATATCAAAGTTACACATTTCAAACAAATTGTCATTTATATTTACAGTATACAAATGCAAAGCACTAATTTCCCACTTGTTTTTAACTTTCTATCCCTCTCCTTTCCTGTAAAAAAATCAATAAAATATATATTTTTTAAAAAAAAAGAACGTTCTTAGGTATCTGCATTTTGCAAGGTGTGAGCTAAGGTTGTAGGGAAGGGCCTGATTGGTTCACTTCTCTCCATTGTATCATGAAGTCAAGGCACCTTGACTTTTCTCTATCTGCAAACTAGATAAACAAATATCCCCCAGAAGATTTAAGGACTCCCCCAGAGAGGTTAGTGGGAGAGAACAAAACAAAACACCTTTAATTTTAAATAGGAATTGTGTAAAATCATCTGAAACTCACCATTTTCTTATTTACTTTCAGGAAGATACTTATAAGTAAATAACTGAAACCCTCGTGATAGGTAAATGAAAATATTAAATGAAAATATTCACATTGCTATTGAACTAGGTTTGGCTGCAGGTCGAAATCCTAAAATCAGGCGAAAAACCGGTTTGGCTCAGTGGTAGAGCGTCGGTCTGCGGACTGAAGGGTCCCAGGTTCGATTCTGGTCAGGGCCATGTACGTTGGTTGCAGGCACATCCCCGGTAGGGGGCGTGCAGGAGGCAGCTGGTCGATGTTTGATGTTTCTAGCTCTCTATCTCTCTCCCTTCTTCTCTGTAAAAAATCAATAAAATATATATTAAAAAAAAAAAAGAAATCCTAAAATCACAGTGGCATGAATACAAAGTATGTATTATTTCATTAAAAATGAGCTGGGGAAAAAAAATGAGCTGGGCATGTTGCTACTGCCCTGTAAGATGTGAATTTTGGTACAAAAAAAAAAAAAGGCAGGGAATTAATATCAAAGGAAAAATCTCAGTCTTCCAAAACTAGAGCATATTGCTCTCAAAATTAAAATTCTTCAAAACAGACTTCAACACAGTGGGTGAGTTTTCCATGACCTTGACATTGGTCCAAGAATCAACAGTCTTGGATTCATTGTTATCCTAAACTCTGAAACTTTCTAATCATTTATTTAAGACCTCTGTGGGACAGTTGCTTTGAGTTGATAGCAGAAAAATAATGTACACAAAAGTACTTTGGACCCATAGGCATGAAGAAGTGTCCATAAATTCAGTAATAATAGTTTTGAAGATGGAATCATGTCAAAGCTTGCTTAAAAATCCCCTCATCCAATTTATTTAATAAATTATCTTCTTTGCTTGTGTTTTGCTACCTTCCTCTTAGGGTAAACTCATCTTTTGCCAATTATTAAATTACAGTTATTAAATCCTAATAATTCTATATCATTACATTTCTCTTTACAGGAGACACACATACAACAGGTGCAAAAGGTAAGCTAGGTCTGGGTATCAAAATATTTTTTTCCAGATTTTTTTTAAAAAGTGGGGGGTTTCTTTGAACCTAATCTCTGTGATGAATTACATTCTTTTCTGGATTGGAGTCAACAAATCAACCCTCGAAGAAGTAGGTTTCAAACTTCTTTTAAGAGAGAAAAGGGAATTGCCTGAATTTGAAAATAATCAAACTGCAAATGAGACTATTCATTTAATGCTATCTGTGGAGAAGGAATCACAGTTTATTGTTATTAAGAGTGAAAATGGGGGCAAACTTAATAGCTGTGCACAAACGCTACCCAATGATTAACTGTGAATCCATGCTGTGTGAATGGTATACTTCATCAATCTTGAGACCCAGAAATCTTGCCATTCATTAGTTGAGAATAGAGTAGTCCAGAGTTTCTCCTCTTCTAAAACAGCTTCCACTGGATACAGGAGAAACAGCATGGAGCATGATTTCTATCTACAGTAGGGCAGTGGCACTGTGGATGGCACATTGTATGGCAGCTACTGTTTATCTGGGCTCATGGTTTCTTCCCTCTCATTCAGATGGCTTTTCAACTGGGACACTGATTGGAATCATAGCTGGCGCCTTACTAGGCATTGGATTCATTGCTGTGATCACCATTGTGGCCGTGCGAAAAATGTCGGGAAGATACTCGTAAGTAAACCACCTACCCCCATGTGATAGATGAGTGAAGGTAGTCACTTCTAGAGCTCTGACCTTTGAGCTAATGGAAACCTTTAAATGAAGGTCAAGGTCAAAAGCCCCGGCCTCCAGAAGCCCTACATCTGAAGTTTCCCCAGAAGAACAAGTGTGTACGTGGGCCGTACGTGCTCCTAAGAAAAGAGAGTCATAGCCAGAGGTGACTCTATGGTTGACTTCCATTGAACTCTGACCAAACTTGACCTCTTGTCTTAATCTTCCAACTAACGACTTGAGAGAAAACCCAAACCAAGTTTGAACCTGACATCTCATCACCCTGCTCCTGGTCATCAGAGGTGGGAGGTTTCCAGAAGACCTTCTGCTGTGGGGCCAGATCTCATAGTGCTGAGGAATTCTGCTGGGATGGGGTCCCTCCCTCCATCCTGCCCTGGACACACGCACACACAGTAGTGTACTCCTAGCATTGGCTACTGAGGAGAAGGGGTTCTTCCTCTTTATTAAAATTCCCCAAGAATTCAGAACATTCGAATTCATAGCCAGAGGAAACCTTTTTGTACTTCTGTGGGGAAGATGATGTGTAACTAGAAGTCTCAGGAGGACAGATGCCATGGATCTGGGGGTCTGAGAGACATGATTCACAATGGGTTTGTGTTATGTATTTGGAGATGCCCATGAATCAGACCCCGGCTCTGTGGAACCCAGTCATGGAGGAAGAATGGTTGAGAAAGAAGAGCACAGGGCTCCAGAACTGGGTGACTTAGAAGGACAATAGGCACATGACTCATGGCTTCCTGTTCCCAGTGCCAGTAAAAGGAGTGACCATCACCTCTCTCTTTGTTTTCACAGGCCCTAAAGAGCTAAAGGAGTGTGCCCTTCTGCCAATGTGTTTAAAAAAGACTTTCCGACCTCCCCTGCCCCTGAGCACATAGGAGAAGATGACCCATGGAAATGCCTGGCCCCCCACTCAGAATCCATGGTGATCCCTCCGCCTGCCAAGAGTAACCGCAGGAACGAGCATCCATCCACAAGACTTGCTCCTCTAAATAGTTTGTCTTTTGAGATTTTTTTTTTTTTTAACATATAAGTTTTGGAAAAGATGACTTTTAAAAAAAATGCACAGGAAATGGAGCACGCTCTATAGATTGATTTGTCACTCAAACAATGTAATTCCATCGACGGCAGATGCCGGAACCATGCCTTTATTCTAACTGTTCTCTGTTATTGTTAAAATGCAAAGGAATCTGGAACTATTTATACTAGCGGAGTCCTTGGGCCTAGTGCTGTGTCAGTAAATGGCATCAGCATTTTGCAATTTCTGATCTGTTGAAATGTACACATTCCGGTCTGGTTTGGTCTATCTTGAAAGCCCGAGTTGGTGTGAATCATCAAGTGGAAGCATCTCAACTGGAGCAATCTGTCAATCTCACAACAAGCTAACGAGCTACGGGGCAGCCTCCAGGCTTGCTTTCCCCTCATTTCCAGGGATGACTTGATGACTCAAAGGTTAGCTCCTACTTGACCCTCTGCTTCCCTCAGATGCTGGGGGCCTTCTCATCCCCATGACGCAGGATCTTCAGATTGGCTGTTTTGATCTAGACCAGCGCTCGCCAACCGGTGGTCCATGGACCACTGGTGGTCTGTGAGGTCCGAAAGGTTGGCGACCGCTGATCTAGACTATGAAGACCTCAGCCCTGATGGTGGCTCAGGAGGCTGCTGGAGGCCTGGCGGTGCCAGAGGCTCACCTATCCCAGACACCAAGAGCCACGAGGGTCCCCAAACAGAAGGAAGTCTCTGGCACGGGAGCCAGAACCTGCCGGGTTTCTAACATTCCCCTCCTGCCTTAGAGGGAATCATCTTATAAAATATTGATTTTTTTTTTAAGCAGCTGGATTTAAAAATAGAAGATACTCCCGGTCTTCATGAGATCCCACTTCTATGGGGTCGTAGTTGAAAAATCAGAATCAAGGTGCCCAAGCTGCTGTTCTGTGTGGCCACCGCTCAGTTCAGCACCTTGCTTCCCAGGGGCAGCTGAAGGCTTTTTCCTAAACAGAAAGTCTTTACACTTAGCAGATGCTCCGTCGTGATTGTGTTTGTGCAGATCTTATATCCTGTAAACTTGCACGAGCTCATCAAACAGGAAAAAGTAAACTATTATCGCAGCTGTTCCCTTTCCCACCCCCATCCCCACACTTTTTTTTCCCCCCCAGGAACGTGTGCACGTTATTATAAACAATGTGCCCTCCTGTTGCCTAAGTCCAGCTGGTCCATCAGCCCGGGTTCCTTTGCTGGAGAGAAAGGGGTTAAGAAGAGCCTTCTGAGCTCAAAACCCTCCTGTTCTGTCACTCAGATTCCCAAACAGGCGTTGGGAATAATGTCCCTTTCATCTTTTCTTTCTTTTTTTCCTTTCACTGTGAACGATAACGGTCCACCCCGAGTCGTACACTGGACCCATCACCTGCTGGGACCGGGCTGTGGGTTTCTAAGTCACATCTGTGTTGATGCTCAATGCAGTGTAGACGTGTTTGAAATAAAACAGATGATTGAGTATAACACTGAGTCAGAGCTTTGATTGGAGATCTCTTTGAGTGGAGTCGGGCCCCACTGAGGAACATTTCCAGAAAAGCTGGGAAGTTATGTCAACCCCTTTCTCTTGACTCCGTTGGGAGCGAATTATAAATGACGATTGGAAGTACAACCACGGGAAAAAATGGAACTACGCCTTTCGCCCAGGGATCTGCCTAAGTAGAGAGGTGAAGGCCAAGTAGACAAGTGGCGTTGTGGGACTTCCTTTGCCTGCTCTGGTCCCCACACGTTTTAGAAGGTTTGGCCTGGCTCCTGATTTCTCTGCACCAGAGGGGAGTCAGGTGAGGGAGCAGCTAGCTACACCTCCTCCTGCCCGTTAACCCTGGGGACCTTCCCTCAGGTGTGCTGGGCTGGGTTACACAAGAACGGGAGGTAATGCCCTGGTGAAGGATGTTCCAACTGCTCCAGATTCCTGTTCCTGGGACAGCTCACTGCTCCTTGGTCCTCGGCTACAAATGCTCTGCTGGTCTGGAGACTGCAGTGGTCAGGCTCTGTCTCTCTCCGCCTCTGTCACCCGTCTGCTCCTCCCACCCCCACCTACGCTGCTCCAGAAGAATTCCAGTGCCATGCCCTGGGTCAGCTCCCTGCCAATCCTATCCATCCTCTCTCATACAAGTTGGACGCTAGGAACAGGAGAGCTGGGAGAATCAGACTTTCCTCATAACAAATATTCAGTATGTTGCCCAGCCAGAGTGGCTCAGTGGTTGAACGTTAACCTATGGACCAGGAGGCCACGGTTCGATTTCCTGTCAGGGGACTGCCTGGGTTGTGGGCTTGATCCCCAGTGTGGAGTGCACAGGAGGCAGCCAATCAGTTATTCTCATCATTGATCTCTCTCTCTCTCTCTCTCTCTCTCTCTCTCTCTCTCTGCCCCTCTTCCTCTCTGAAGTCAATAAAAATATATTTAAAAGAAAACAAAAAATGAATACTCAGTATGTTACATCCGATTGTTGAATTTGCCAGATAGCAGGACCCCTGAGTGCATGGTTCATAAGCAGTGATGTGTCACGGAAAAGGCCAGGCCCCACATCCTCTCCTGTTACTTTACAGCTGGAATCCCCAGTTGAGTCAACTGCAAGCTTTTGGGGCCGTGGTTTCTTCCATGAGACGATCCAGAAAGCGTGACTGTCCCAGCAGAAGCCAAACCACATCCACCTGGTCCCACAGACCGAAAGGGAACAGCTATGCCAGGTGTAAACAGTGTTCCTGGCGCGCTCCCCGCAGGACAGGACTGGGAAGCATCAGCTCTGCCACGGGGATGGGAGTCCCGGGAGCCCCATTCTCTCTCATCAGAGCCACCTGGAGCCGACACTGAAGCTACCTCTGCCTCTTCGCAAAGCCTGGTCTGGAAGGAGGGGCACAGGGCAGCCATCTGTTTCTGAGCTTGCAATGTTTTACATGGAACAACGTAGAAAACAATACGCACATCATAGCGCTGTCATCAGCCGTAAAGTAAATAATGGATGGGTAGTGCCTGTTGGAAAACACAGGAACTGTTCCACCACAAGCAACTGTCCTCAGAGCTCATCTACCCGCACATCCTGGTGAAGTCGGCAAGATGGAGATGATCCCCATTTTGCAAGGGAAGAAATTGGGGTTCAAACAGCTGCCTGAAACCACAGCGTTTTGAAACAGCCGTGCAGGTGGTTAGACTCGCTCTCTTCGCCTTTGTTCCGTCCACGTGTCGTCTGTTAAGATCAGTTGCCTCCCTATCAGCTCAACCAAAGCACAAAGACACAGTATCTCCGGCCATGGAAAATAAGAACCTTTTTCTAATCATAGAATATTTCAAACACACAGAAAAACATAGAATAACAAAGCCCCACATACCCACCATTGAGCTCAAGCGAACCCTACCATGTTCTCTATAATTTGTTTAGTTTTTTTCTAAATAAAAACTTGCACATATGGGCCCTTCTGACATCAGCTCTTCATATTCCCCTTCCCTGGGGGATCATTCCTCTGAGCAGGGTGCATTTCACTCGGAAACAGGTCTATTTTCCTGCATTCTTATTTTAGGTGTATGTAGCCATAATCAAGACAGAGCGTTGTTGTGTATGTTTCCAACTCATATCACCACCTTGCTTTCTCCACCCCCATTATTTTTGTGAGGGTTATCCTCACTGAGGCACGGAGCTGCCAGGCGCCTGTGCCGCAGGTCTGGCACAGCGATTTTCAACCCTCTCCATCTCAGGACACACATAAGCTGATTACTAAATTCAGCAGCACACCAAAGGGTAGAATTTTTATTGATCTGACAAAAACAATGCCATTTTTGTTGTTTGTCCTTACCGAGGATATTTTTTCCCATTGATTTTTAGAGAGTGGGAGGGAGGAAAGGGAGAGAGAGAGGAATATCAATGTGGGAGAGACATGTCAATTGGTTGCCTGCCATCGACGCCCCAACTGGGGCCAGGGATTAAACCCTCCACTCTTTTTTTTTTTTTTTTTTTTTAATATATTTTATTGATTTTTCACAGAGAGGAAGGAGGAAGAGGGATAGAGAGTTAGAAACATCGATGAGAGGGATACATCGACCAGCTGCCTCCTGCACACCCCCATCGGGGATGTGCCCGCAACCAATGTACATGCCCTTGACTGGAATAAAACCTGGGACCTTTCAGTCCGCAGAGCTTCGCTCTATCCACTGAGCCAAACCGGTTTTGGCTAAACCCTCCACTCTTCAGTGATTGGGCGAACACTCTAACCATTTAGCAACACTAGCCAGGGAATTTTGTCATTTTTTAAAATTTGACAATCTAAAGGAGAAGAGATCAGTGTCCCTGACTAGTCAGATATTGTTTTAAAAATTCTTGCAGCACACTGTTTGAAAATCACTGGCATAGAGTGTTAGACCATGATTCTACCCCATTACTTAGGTTTTTCTCTGCCAATAAATATTTAAGATGTTTCTAAATTTCTGAATTCCAAACAACAATGTGATAAATGGGGTCATAATAAAAGAACCATTTTTCTAGAGACCAGAATTTTGTCCTCTGGAAAAAATAGAAGTAAAATAAGGTATAGTTTTAAATATCAAGACTTGACTAGGAATTACTTGAAATTTTTCTTACAAGCATGATGTTCACAGAAGCATTTAAATCAATTTATTTAAATGGACAATCACTTCACAATCACCCTTTGTCTATCTATATCTGTTTCCCTTCAGTTGATCATCTGATCTGACTTTTTTAAAATATGAAAATATTTTAATACATTATTTATTTTCAAAATGATAGAAATGTCTCATCTATCTCCCATGAAAGCATT